ACATCAAGGAACAAAATCCATACATATTAAATAGTTAGTGCTGGGCAACGATTCAAATTTTAATCGCATGATTTTTTCGTGATTAATCGCATTGTTATGCGCAAAGTTCAATAATGAATTCAAAAGTACTGCTAAGGTCAATAACATTTGGTTTGCAAACACTTTAAACAAATAAGGTTCTTGTTGGCAGCAGTATTCCCTTTACACAGCAGCAGTTATAACACAGTTATAATGATTCTGATCATAGATATTCAGCCGGTGTTTTATCTTTATCTTCATGTGTGTAAGAGATGCAATTCATGTGTGTAAGAGATGCAATTTAAATATACACCTTGAAAACTGAAACCTATCTACGTCATGTTTTTATGTTTGTTAAATTCTCAGTAGTGATACTAAATGATGATTATTATACATATTACAAAAAAAACACTTTAAAAACTCAAAAATAATAATTTAAATTAATCATTTCTTTTTTTCTATTTTTGGTATTTTGGTCAGACACATATGCAACGCTGATTACCGTAATATGTGTGGTATTTGTTATAAATGTACGTTGGTACATAGAGGGTGATAAGAAGCTGTAGATGGAGGGACTTAGGACCCAGGGGAATGTAGGTGAAGGAAACACGAAGTGACGGAACGGAAGACACGCCACACAAACAGCTGTTCACCGCTTGCTGGCCGGTTGGCCGGCCGGTTCTTTTCGCCGTTAATTAATTAATGTTTTAACGCGAGAAAAAAAATATCGTGATATACCGTGAAACCGCCAGAATCTTACAAAATACCGTGATATGCATTTTTGGTCATAACGCCCAGCCCTAATTCACATTCGCCATCACCATGGTGATAGATGCTTTTGAAGCATGCTGGCCGGCATATAGTCAGATAGCAGAAACCCTTGGGCAGAGATGAAGGCGAGGAGAGATGTTAAAGAGTGCGAACACAGCCTTGTGACTGCAACCACGCTGTTGAGGACCGCAGCTCAGAGTTCCACTTCAGTGGGGGAGCACGGCTGATCATTGTCACTGTTTATGGTCTTTTGGGTCCACTGCATAATAAACTGGCTCTGCATACTAACTACTAATCATGGAGATCACTACCACTGGAGCTAGCCAATTGATAGTGTTTTTCTGATCTCGACTTGTTTCCCCCACTGAGCTCCAGAGAGAGTTCATCCAAAGTGTTTACAATAATAGGTGTTATTAGTATTTTAAATAATTCAAGCTGCATGAACACCCTGTTTGCAGTGTGTTGGCTCTGTGCCGCAGGGAGGTTTTTTCTCGGAGTCTTTTTCTTTTTGTTTATAAGGCTTCACCCTTCAGGTTTAATCAGGGATCTTGACATTTGACTGGTTTTGATCAGCAGAGCAGGGGAAGGCGCTGAAGTGCTTTACCTGATGAAGGGGAGTGTGGTGGGGGGGGGGGTTCAAGGCTCTCTTTGGGGACGTTAACTTATTAAACCAAGGTAACAGCTCACAGTGAAAACATTAGCACAGATTAACCATGGCCACTGGATTTAATTAGACAGCTATAGAGGTAGAGCGAGTGCAGATATGAGCCCCATAGATGTGTTTTAGGTTTATTAATTTAGTGTTGTTGGCCTTGTGGGGACAATGAAATGGTAATGCTTTACATTAACATTAATATTTTACAATGTTAAACAGGTACTATGAAAAATACTGGAATTTAGTGGATGCTCACTGAATTATATTGAGGTTTTGATAGAAACACACCGATACACAGCAGAGGAGGCTATTTGTTGGACGGAGGAGGCTTTAAAACAACAGCATGAGACAAATAAAGCACACCTCACACACTGAGTTATTCTAGGAGAAACATAAGAATGAAAACATGACTCATGATAAAATGATAAAATATATGCACACATAAGAGACACTGTCAATATAAGTGTCTACTTAAAACCTTTCAAAAACGAACCTATTTTTTAGGCCTCCGCTCAAAAATTGCATACCCATACTAAAAAGAGTATATCTCTGCAACCACAAGGTCTATTTTAACAATGTTGATGTTATAATAAAGGGAACACTTGTGAGATTTGTTCAGATGTGCAAATATCAGTGTATATGTTACTGGTTAAGAGAAAATGAAGATGGCACACAGCACAGATGAAAAATGTTCAGGTTTGTCTAAAAAAAAAAAAAAAGCCCTTACAGGATTATTATTTCTTTGGAATGATGCAGCTGCAGGTCTCCCAAATCATAGCACAATATGTGAACAGTGTCTTGACTCTTGACTTTGATAAAGTGAAACAGAACAAAATTAGAGAGGTTTCAGTACAGAGAGGTCAGGCGAGTTCACCAAAATGGTCATTTTGGAACCATCTGTTCCATTTTAATTTTCTCATGTACCAAACTATACATTTCACTTGTATATCACTAATGGTGTTCAATACATCCAAATACAGCAGTTTGGGTTTTATTTTGAGAGCCAGAAACTTCTCTGAGTCCTCTCTGTGTACTGGATTTTTTTTCGATTTCAGCCCCCTGTGTGTACGCAGGGCTCTATCTCAGCAGCCCATTGGTCGATTTCAGTGAATGACCCCTCTTTCGACGCGTTAGAGCCAATAGAATTGAGCTATACCCACGTGGAAAAGATTGACAGCACTGTTAGCCAGTCAGAATCAACAAGGCGCCGTCTATCGTGAAGCTTAAAATCCGATGCGCTGAAAGTGAAATCCTACCCCCTGCTTAGATTAGACCCCCTGAAGCCACGGAATGAGTTCAGTGACACAGGATATCCGGTGAACAGATATCTGTGTGAAAATACCGGGAATAATGGTTTGTTTTCGTGAAAATGTCAAAGGTGAGGAGCATTTGCTGATCATAAAGCGATTTGTGTTGCTGGTGTTCGTTGGCTGATATCTCGGTGATGGTTTGACGGAGAGAGATATTGAGGATATGTATGGAATCTGTGTGGAATTTGTTTACTATCTGTCATCTCGGTTTGTTAGCATGTAGCTTTGATCGGTAGATCCTGAAATGTTTTGCACCGCGTTACCCGCGGGACCATTTGTGGTTATTCGCCTCATTTGCGCTAGACGAGGAGGCGTGGCTTATCTCCATGGAAGCCGTTATCAACTAAGCCATTTATTTCCTCCATCAACCATGAAAGAATTAACCAATATTTCAGCTTAGTACTTGTCATGGAAGTCCCACATATCCAAGAAACTAAACGCCGTCTTGTCTGGTTCATAACATCATCCGGAGGAGCTCCGTGTATTTCATGGAGCTGTATTCACTGTGTCTAGCAAGCCACACGTCGGCTGTGTACTACAGCTGTATGAACACAAAACAAACTGATTTTGCTGTGATTTATCTGCAATAAATGGACAAAAGGGACTCCGAAATAACTACATAATGATGCAGATTTGTAAAAAGTCTGAATTCATCTTTTGTTAGTTCTCTCCGCAAGACGACAAGCAAATAACTTTTAAAATACTTGTTTTCTCAATGAAGCTCTGATCGATCGGTGCTATGCTATGCTGACATTGTAGCAGCTCCATCAACACTCAATATCACGCCATTTTCATTATTTGTAACATAAGTTTATACACACACACATTTATACACAGTTTCGTCAGGTCTCTACTAATATGAGGAATCGTAGAGCTCAGGGTGAACACAGACGGCTACACTATTTATGTGTCCTCATTCAACAACAGCAGGACGTCAGTGATGACAGGAGGAGCATCTCAATGCTGATAGGCTTTTGCGACACAGATTTCGCAGTCTCACGTTATTCATGTTGCGCCATTCGCGTTTACTCGCATCTATTTGGGTCTGTGCATTGACTTTGTATGTAATCTAGTCACGCGAAAAATTTGCGCCACATTTAGTGTGAACATGGCATTAAAATTTTGAAGGAACATAATCAAGCTCTTACAAAATCTGCTGGCAAATATGGGACATATGACGTGAAATACCACTTATTTACATAGTATACATAGTATTTGCCAGCTCTAAGAAGTCTGTTAATATGAAGTCAGTGACGAACAGCAGCCTCCTGGGTGAAAGTCCTGTTTGTTTGAGAACAGCCTGATATAATTGGTCTTTGGATGAGATATTTTGTCTTTTAACACCAAAATGAATTACTTATACTTCAATAAGGTAAGATTAAAATAAATGTGTTTCATTAAATTTGAGGCAGTCTTGTAAATTAAGGGACGTCTTCCATTAGATTTCTCTGAGATTTCGCCATAACATAGTTGAATAACAAGGCCCTGACACTGGAAATATATAAATCCTGTCTCTTCTGCTCAATAATTAAGATTGATTTATGAAATAATATACTATCAGATACAATTTAAAGTTTATTGTCATGTGTATTGTAAAACGATAAAATATTCTGCCTTACAAGGGGCACACATCCCCAGACAACAACAGAGAAACAAGTAAATAAACATTACACACAATATATCATACAGGCTGCAGTAAAAGTATCTTTGCATGGTGTATTCTGAGGCATTTTGTATGTGTTGACGCAACAATTCTCAATGCTAAATCAGTGTACACCTACTGTACAGACCTAAGCTTTGATTGGCGTCTCTGGATAACAACTAAAACACAGTCAGTCAAAAAGGAATACTTATTTAAGCTTTAAATATATTCAGCACCTGTATTCTAAATACCATAACTTAAAGAATTTACATAAAATAAACAACGTTCATTTCTGTATCGGAGTACATACAATATCATGAATATTCTCTTTCACTACAACCCGACTTTGTGTAAAACAGTGATTGACTGAAAGAAATCAATTAACTCACCAGCCACGAGGCTGAGTTAGGACGGAGAATCAAACAGTATTTTATCTATTCAACTAAGCAGCATCTTCACTGCAACACATTGACTTGTTGCCCTAATTACCTGTTTGGTTGAGCGGGCAGTTTAGCTCCCTGAGGTTTAAGTAAATGAGATGAACAAACTTTGGCTGACCAGCAAAGTCAATATTCAATAAGGGTATAAATCTGCACTTGGATAAAACAAAGACACTGATTTAATCGTGTTGGTTGCTCCTGCTGACCTCACGTCTTTTGGTCCTTCAGGCTCTCCGTACCGAGATAAGATCACTATTGCCATCCTGCAGCTTCAGGAGGAAGGGAAGCTGCACATGATGAAGGAGAAGTGGTGGAGAGGAAACGGCTGTCCAGAGGAGGAGAGTAAGGAGGCCAGCGCCCTTGGGGTGCAGAACATTGGAGGGATCTTCATCGTCTTGGCCGCCGGACTCGTCCTCTCCGTGTTCGTGGCTGTGGGAGAGTTCCTTTACAAGTCCAAACAGAATGCACAACTTGAAAAGGTAAGAAATACCTCAGATTTCCACCTCTGCTTTGTTATTTACAACAATGATAGCAGAATTTCTACTTTCTATAACCACATTTGCTGTGAAAGTCTCATTGCAAATAAATCAATCTATAAAAGCTAATAAAATGAAACAAAATATATGCTAAATACTTGTTCTGATATATGATTTAAAGAAATCATTTGTTTGCCAATTTGCGGAAACTCACACTATAATGACAGTGCTATATCATATGCAGTAAGATAAGGGTTGGTTTCTTTGCATTTATTCACTTAGGCCCAATGGCGACAACGAGATAAGAAACGTGAGGAATTCTGCTGTCACCATGGATCCAAGCTAGACTTTAGCCACCATCTCAAATGACCTCAAGAAAAACTCCAGAAACCTTTTCTTTTCTTTTGTAATCGAACATGATCTAAAACTTACTAAAACTTTTAAACTGTTTTTTAATGTTTTATATTTCCTGACACTCATGGGGGGGGGGGGAACACTAAGAGCAGTTTAATAAAAGGTTTCGAGGGCTGGCTGTAATATACAGTGGGATCACAGGCACATGCTCTGCTGCATCACTCATGTCGTCAACAGCCACATCCACAAACGCACACCTCCATTTCCATTATGCTTATAATCTAACTATTGTCACTGTTCATATCTGTGGCATTTAGTTCATCGCCTTTCTGGATCAGTGCAGCAACATAACACAAGATTGTGTTGTTTGACCAGAGCCTCCCAGCAAACATTGTGACACTGACTATTTGCTGATAATGGCCTGCATCATTGGAGAAATACTTCGGGCTACTCTAAATACATTAATTCACGGTTTCACAGGAGCCGGTTATTAACTCCTTATAGAAAATATGTATCTTGATTCAGACTTGTTCAGCTGCCAAACATATCTAAACTGCTTTACTCATTTTAACCCAGGTCTGCTTTAGGCTTGATGCAGCTGTAATTGTATAAAAATATATTAAACGTAAGTGTGCCCTGTGAAAATAATAATTATGTCAATAACTTAGTATGTCCTTTACACATGGCATTACAACTGTAGCAGTATTCATTTCAGTCACAAGTGGTGCATTGTTTAATAAATGATATATTTACTTTTTGTATACCTTTTGTATGACTTAATGTGTTTCCATTAGCAGACAGAATAGCAGTAATGAATCACTTTATAGCCAGCAGTCAGCTGTTAGATAGATGCTGACGCATAAGCAGTAGCAGCACTGTAAACGCCAGTTAGCCAGTGCTCCAGTACAATGATTGCATAAGCACTCCATTTAGATTGCTGCTACAACTAGCAGAGAGAAAAAAACATGTGACACCTATAGTATTTTTATTATCACTTTTGTTAATGGAAGAGCTAAGGGTGAACCCCACTACTGTGGAGGGAACACAAAGCGGCAACATGCCCAACAATATAGATTTATCATGATGAGAGGTGGAGAAAGCTATGTTATTCAATAGAGAACACAACAGAAGAAATTGTAGACTAAATCATTTTGAACATTTTTTTCAAAAAAAATACTGAAATATAAAAACTGTTTTGCCCAAAATTGAAAATATATTTTAATACTCAGTTTGTTTTCTTTTATTCCAATTCAGTAATAATCAAACTATCAATTTTCACATAGGCACATGGCCAATATACACAAATTGTACATATTATGTATTATGTTGTGAACCAGTGTAACGCTGCAGCAAAATGAAACAAGGGTCACAGTCGTTATACTCGGCTCACACTGTCAGAATGTTGTACAGATTAGGTTTGACATATGTAGTTGAATGAACAATCATCCACTACTTTTAAGTGAGGAGAGACAGCAGAGCTCCTTCCACCGAGTCCTCTGCTGTTGTCATCTTGTTTTGCCTTTAAAGTAATAAGCTCCCATGGGAGCAGAGAAACATGAATCCCATTGTCTGGAGCAATGCAGTTCTAATCCTGGAAGAGTTCAGTAACAGCTTCCTTCCACATTAGACTTTATTGATTGTGCAGTGTTTTAGCTTTGCCCAGTGACCCTGTATTGGACGGGCCACCTCGGTGGTGTCATTCCATTAACTGAATACACTCAGAACATTCAAATATGTAAACACACACATGCATGAACGCACACATATGGTGTTGACACATGTGAGCACAGTGAATAAATGGGTTGAAAGCACTAGTGAAGTAACAATACATGATACCGTAAAGGCCATGGTGACCAGGGTTACTTTATCACTGTAATGTCTACTTGTAAAATGTGTCCATGACTGGCAGTCATACTGCCTCTTCTATAACAACCACATAATATACAGCAAGTGACCATGAACACACAAACATCTTGTGGAAGACAAATGAATTTAAAGCTGCTTTTATTCCGCTGCTTCTGCTCATGCAAGTACTTCTCTGTGTATATGAAAGCTAGTAAAAAATCAGATACGTTAAAAAGATGATAATGAGTAGCTGAGCGGATACAAAGGATCTGAAAAGGATGTATCACTAATGAAAAACAAAGATTTATCAATGAGCAAGTGTGAAACATGGATTTAAATGTTGTGGACTGGATTTATGAATCATTATATTCCTCCACCACAATTTAGATTATGAACAACAGCACAGATTTTACATACTGTTACATGTATTATTTTATTCAAGAAGAGTAACTAAGACAGCTATGTTTGGTTTAAGGCTGAAAGGATAGGCTTTTTTATTTCAATTTCTTTGATTGCTTACAAATATAGCAAGATAGACATACATAGAATGAACATTAAAAAAATACTTTGTTGGGGGTAATTTGAGACTTATTAAATGTCAACTCTGAAAGTTTGAGATTTTGTGCTCAGTTGATATTGGTACCTAGGTGTCTGCCTGATGGTCAGCAGTATTCTACCCATAGAAAGCAGTGGTGGGCCGTGTGTTTTATACCTGGGGCTTCAGTGCTGTCCTACTACAGTTGAGCCACCTCCTAATAACCTCATTATAATGCCACAGCTACGGTTATTAATTGTTTCTAGGGGTGTAACAATACACATATTGAACCGTTCGGTACAAGGCTTACGATCCGAACAATACGTTTGAATAATAGTGCATTTGGAAAATGCAGAAGCTTAAATTGTGGGAAATATAATGTTCTTTCGGTGGAGCCACTGCAATCAACCTGGCATTAACGGACGATGCACTTCAAAATCAATCCAGCAACTCTGCTAAAACACGTATTCCACCACACACTCAAGAGCACAAGCCATTCAAATATTATTCACATCAGAGGGAACAATATTAACCATATCATAAAAACGACACCATAGACACATGAACACAGTAGTAACGCTACTGCAGATGTAAAACAAAAGCACTTCACTTACCAAAGCTGCTGTTCACTTAAAGACAAAGTCCATCCTCCTTTCTTTGTTAACAAAGAGTTCAGTAACGTTACATCGGTGCAGTTCAGTTCCAGTAAGAAGTCCTTCTCGATTCATGTGATGAATCGAGAAGGACTTAATAAATTATCTTTAAAAACAATATTTTACAAAACTATCCTGAACTTTTCAAATACTAATACAAGGCTCAACAACAGTTTATGGTAACTAGGACTGACAAAAATGTTCAGTGATGAAAATCGAGCCTCCCCAGTTGTATTTCTTGACAGAGGCAGCAGATATGGCGAGGCCAGTTGGAAGGTGCTGACACGTCAAAGAATACGCCCAACATGTCAAACTAAAGATCTGATTGGTTGAACACTATGACAATCAACAATATCGTCCCCCATTCACTTAAAGTGCACATGGATGCACTTGTGAGTCTGCAGGCCTCTGCCTCTCTTCTTACCTAGAGACACAGAGGTGAAATCTGATAGGATAAAAGCTCTACTTAAAACAAGCTGCACTGGAAGCAGAGCAACTGAGGAACACAGGAGCTGTGCAATGAGGAAATAAGATGATGGGGGAAATACAGTATTTGTATAAATTATAATACATGTAGTGTATTTAAGAAAAAATATTAAATTATAAAATAGCTATAACTTTGTAATTCTGTCAGGGCCAGCAGAGAAGGCCTTGCAGGCCCTGATGGCCCACCACTGATAGAAACCTCTCAGTGCATTATATGGTAAAGCTGCATGCTTTATTTCCTGGAGTATATTACCCGAGTGTATGTCAGTCCTAATGATTAACAAAACAACACAGGTAGCAGATATGTGTGACATCAACTTCCATCTGGTGCTTCTATTGATATTTTCTACGGTAGGTGCAGGCGATCGTCTTAGCAATCAGTGTTCCAAATCAAAATGCTTATTGAGATCATGTATTAATGTTCTCATTGATAATGCACTTTTTACATCCAGATATAATTTAAATTATCCAACAGGTAATCACTTTATTCATCTGAATGCAGTGTGACTTTTTCTTTTTTCAGAAAGTTCAATCTATTGGTCTTTGAATTCATATAATACATTCATAGCCTGTTTCTCCAGTTTGAATATCTAACAATGTAATGAGTGAGTACGGCAGGTTGTGATTCCACATGTACAGTGTGAGAGTTAAGCCCCACAACAGCACAAGGTTATTCATCTATTCAGAACAAGGTAAATACAGACAGAAAGGATGAATGGACCCAACAGACACCTTGCAGGCAGAACCGACAGTCTGACATTTGATTTGACATACTCAAGGTTTCTCCATTCAAATGACAACATTCCACCTTTTTCAAACCTTGTATAGACAACAAATCTCTTCCCACAAATCTAATGCCACTACTGTCACATGTTGTGCACTCTGCACTCAGCGTGCAGTAATTGACACACTGTCACTCGTTTGCTTGGGATTGCACACACTGATTCACTTAGTATGTAAACAAAATATGATCACGTTTGACTAATCTTGCTTTTTGAAGGCCTTAAGAAGCTGATATAGCCTACCTACCAAAAGATATTTTGGTTTTGGCAAATAAACCATAGTTAAGGTTAGGCAATTCAAATGGTTGTTGGGGTGAGGGAGAGGTCATGACTATTGTGTAACATTGT